CTCTCTCTCTCTCTCTCTCTCTCTCTCTCTCTCTCTCTCTCTCTCTCTCTCTCTCTCTCTCTCTCTCTCTCTCTCTCTCTCTCTCGTGTGTGTGTTGGACCGTCTCCATGAGACACAGGAGCAGATAGTGCTGTTTCGAGGGAACAGCAACAACCTGTGGAGCAGGTATAGAGAATCGGGGCAGACAAAGCAACAGGCTGCTGGTTCCTGGACGTCCCTTGACTTTTATCTTAGATCCAATTATGGAACGCCTGCAGAGCCCTATCATCCGTATGTGACTGGGCTGTGTCTTGGCTGTATTAGTAGTGAACACAAGGGATAGGTGGAACGTGGTTGAGAAAGGCAGATGATAGAAGACTGGAAGCGGTATGCTGTTATGGCTGTGAAAAAAATGAAAACAGTAGTTTGTGGTTCACGTCTGATCTATCGCCAGAGTCGCCTGGTTTAGGGCGCCGCAGCGACTCGTCGCCAAACTAACCTGACTCCTGTTTGTAACTTGTAAACATGTGTGGCATTGTCAGGTCCAGGCGCCTGGCTGGGCTACCATATATAGCATATAGCTACAGTATTAGAAGATTGTGGTCACATTGTGCACTCCAGTCTGGGTTCGTATATCAGCCAAGAAGAGAAAGAAGACCTTGATAACTTTTGGCACCACGATTTACTTGACAGTCCCTGCGTTGATCATAGAGACTATCACGGTAGAATCAGTGACTGAGGTGAAGTCGTAACAAGGTAGCCGTAGGGGAACCTGCGGTTGGATTGACTCCTTTCCAATATACATACCCAGATTTGATTTAATGTCGATCTAATCAGACTAGTTACCTAAGGCGCGAAGCACAATTCTGAGTATCCGGGTACTAATGTAGGACGTGAAAACACCCGATCTCAGTTGCTACATGCATGATCTGTTGTAAGACAGACCTGAGGTCCTGAGTTCGCATCCCAATGGAATCAAACGAGTAGAAAAAACTCTTGACAAACCGGCAAGGCTGGAGCTGAGAGAATTCAAGAAGGAAAGGCCATCTGACAGTCAATCCTCTAAAGTGAAACGGTTTTCACCTTTTAGTAAAAGCGGATGCAGTACTCAGAGTTCGATCCCTAGACCTCACCCTACACCTGTACAGTATTTGTGTGAACCCCGAGAATTGAACCTGTGACCTGTGTATTCATAGGCAGTTGGTAGACCTGTCGGAGGTCCGTAGACAGCTGGGGTTCGATCTGTAGGTCTATAGCGTAGGAATCTTAGTGAGTTCTGGAAGCTTAGCTGTAGACCTTCTAGAAGGTAGGCAAGTGGGCAAGT